ATCTGGATCCACAGGCAGCAAGAAGAGAGGGACACTGGGCGGGGCTTGAGCATCTAAGACCTCAAAGTCAGTAGCTGAAGTTTTCCTGGTCCTGCCTGGCTCCCATGGTGCTGCGGCTGCTTGGACCCAAGTAAACACGCAGAGGCTTATATTAATTAAAACTGCTCAGCCATTAGCTCAGGCTAACTATTGACTAGCTCTTACATTTAAACTAACCCATAATTCTTATTTATGTTTAGCCACGTGACTTGGTACCTTTTCTCAGTTCTGCCTTCACATGTGGCTTCCTCTGTGTCTGGCTGGTGACTCCTAACTCAGCCTTCCTCTTCCCAGAATTCTCCTTGTCTGCTTATCCCACCTATACTTCCTGCCTGGCTACTGGCCAATCAGCATTTTATTTATCAACCAATCAGAATAATACATTCACAGCATACAGAGCAATATCCACAGCAAAAGTCTGTCTTCCGTGACACACTTCCTCCAACAAGGCCACACCCCCTAATAGTGTCACTCCCTATGAGCCTATGGGAGCCATTTTTATTCAAAACACCACAGTCTGTGTGTGAGTGCATGTGCATGTGTGTGTATATGTATTTCCATGTGTCTGTGTGTCATGGTGTGTGTGTGTGTGTGCATGTGCATGTGCGTGTGTGCTTGTGTGTGTGTGTCATGGTGTTTGTGCGCACGCAAAGGTGCAGGTGGAAGGCCTGAGGACAACTCTTAGGAGCAGATTTTCTTCCTCCAGCATGTGAGTTCCAGGGATTGAACTCAGGTCACCAGGCTTGGTAGCAAGCTCCTTTACCCACTGAACCATCTCACTGACCCTCAAGACATTTCTTAATTTTGCCTTTCCTGCTCCTTTTGGCAGTACTCTCCTTCTGGGGTAGTACCCAGAGGTGACTAGACTACCTCCTCACTGATATTTCTCCCCCATTCTTGCTACACTCCCCTTAACATCCTTCTTCAGACACTGATCTGAGATATTTAGCTAAATGATGACAAAATTATTAACTACTCAAGACCATCCTTAACTTCCCATCCTCTCCTGACAAAACTTCCAATATTTTGCATGACTTTTCAGTCTATTGTCTCATTATAAAATTCTGTTTCCTAATTTCCAAATCTATAAGATAAGGATAATAATAATAATATACAACCTCTAGGATTGTTACAAAGATTAAATTATTTAATATCTGCAAATACGGCTTTCCTGGCACAGAGTAAGTGTAATACACGTTTATTAAACATGCAGATCAAGAACTATCATGAGTCATTCTTCTCTTCCTTGTTCTTCCTCTATCATGTCTCCTCTGCATGTGTGCATGTATGCACAAGTGTGTGTGTCATATCAGATGTCTTACTCTATCTCCACCTTCTGTTTCTGAAACAGTCTCTCAAGTGACCCAGAGCTCATAGATCCTGCCCCTGTGCATGAGCTAGGTTTCAGGAAAGCACCATTACCACCACTCTAGGCTACTGATTTGCTAACAGTTTGGAATAAGCCCTTTCACTAGGGGAGGCATCGATTCTCCAGCTCCAACCCATCTCCTTTTGAAGAAGTGCTTTGAGCTGTTCCATGCTCAGAACCTCTAGCCAAGTTAATTTCTCTTCTGGACGTTCTCATTTTCCAATTCATCCTTATTCTTCCTGCCCTTTCTCTGCTCCTCAATTTTAGAAGAGAAATTTTTATGGTTACCCTACTCTCCTGATGAAATTATTCCCCTGTATGAACTCCTCAAGCACTTTCCACTTTTCTTCATAGACATTTCCATAATGCTGGTGACTTCTAAGATTTCCTACTTAAAGCCCACACACCTACCCAGGATGTCAGCACTAGGACTGTATTTCTGTTGCTTATGTTTCAGCCTTAGCATCAAGCACAATATCTGTCATGCACTACATTTCTAACAAATACTCACCAAATGAACAAATGAATGAATAAATAGATACTACAACTTTCCACTTAAGTACATTATAACATCCTTCTAGGTGTTTATTGGTATCATGGAGAGCAACAGTTGTGGAGTCTTGTCGATCTATCAAAGGCACATGTGTCAAGACTGAGCTTTACAGACTCGGCTGAGGGGCTTTACTCAGAGGGACCATTTGCTCACAGATGGCCCAGCTGAAGCCTAGCACTGGGGAGTTGTTTTCCCTTGAGTTGTCTCAGTTCGTGTAGCAAAACCAATACTTTCTCAGCACAAGAATTTTTCTTGTTATAAAGGAGTTCACTGCACACCACCAAAGGAGAAAAATAAGCACAAATCCTCCATAAAACCTTTGATCTATGATGGTGTTCTGTCTGCAAGACATACTAGTGCAATTAATACACAAAGCTTGTGGGAGTAACAAACCAATATCTGATTTAACTTAAGGTCCACTCCACAAGATGGAACCCATATCTGACACTGCTTGGGTGACCAAGAACCTGAGAGGAGATAGCCTAAGGTAAAACCAAATACTAACATTAAACCAAACCAAACCAAAATGTAGCAATAAAATGACTCTTAATTGCATTCTGCTACACTCATAGATGATTGCCTTGCTCATCATCATCTGAGAAGCTTCCTCCTGCAGCATATGGAAACAAATATAGAGACTCACAGACAATATACAGAGTAAGAGACCTTGGAACACTCAGCTCTAAACAGAATGTCCCCTTCGATCCCCACCTTAGGACTCAGGCAACCCAGTGGAAGAGTAAGAGCCAGAGAGGATGGAGGACACTGAGAAAACAAGGTCATCTAAATCAACAGGACCACACGAACTCACAGAGACCGAGGCAGCATGCACAGGGCCTGCATGGCTCCTAGAACTGAAAGAAGTGGACACATGTCTCAGCCCCTAACCCAGAAGCTATCTCCAATTGATTACCATTTGCAAATGGAAATTTAGTTTTCTCCCAGCAATTCTCACTGGGGAAACAGTGTAGCCGGCACACCCAGCAGTAGATGTCCAACAGAAAATTATCACCAGGAACCTTTGGAGGTTCCTGGTCTCATAATGTTATGTAAGGGATTTTCTTTTTCTTTTATTTAAAGTTTTCATCTTAAAACCAATCTCTCTCTCTCTCTCTCTCTCTCTCTCTCTCATATATATATATATACAAAAGCCAGGCAGTGGTGGTATTTAAAGTTTTCATCTTAAAACCAATCTCTCTCTCTCATATATATATATATATATATATATATATATATATATATATATATACACACAAAAGCCAGGCAGTGGTGGTATTTAAAGTTTTCATCTTAAAACCAATCTCTCTCTCTCTCTCTCTCTCTCTCTCTCTCTCTCTCTCTCTCTCTCTCATAT